CTTTATACGAGCTGCCAATAATGCTGCAGTAAAGTCCAAGCGTGGTAAGTGTGAGCCTTCAAGGGCACTACTTTTGCGTTCGCTTCAGTAGAACTCAAACAGGCATCGATACCAGAGATACAACACCGGGCATATGCTACGGCTGTATTACCAATCTCTGAGGCATCATTAAATATGTGAAGTTTCACAAAAGAACGTTTTGTGCGAGGAAAATACTTTGCAGAAGACTAGTGTTCTCAACCTACTGAAAGCCATCCACAAACTATGGCTAACGACTACTTCCTTCCTCTGGTACCTCTTTGTCCCAGTCTAGCCAAGAATTGCACAATTTTTGAAGTAACTGCTTTACATAGGGCAGGAGCAGTACTGAAAGTTTTAAAGGATCATAGGGTTAGATAAGGCTATGTAGTATACCTGGCCTGATGATGACCCGTTTTGGTATGTGGACCACAAATGTGGAAAAATCATCCATAGTATTCAGAAATAAGCCTAATGCACGTTTCATTTTAAGCCCTTCAAAGTTAATTTCTCCAAGCTCATCCAGTGAAATTGATTCAATAACTTGTAAGGAATCACTTATCCACTTGATAAATCCGAACCAGCTATTTCTGAGGACTAAATTGACGAGACTATAATTTAAGATGTCTTGACTTGGATTTTGGCCTGGAATTCGCTCACTCATTTGACTAAATACCATTTTTGCATTACAGTTGATGTCATTTCGTGATGAAAGTATTAAATCTAATTCTCGACCCTAACGTTCAACTACAAATCCTGATTCTAATTCTTCATAATAATTTGTAACACTCGTTCATCCACAGTAAGTGGATATTCAAATATTGTTTTGGCTTTTCTCAAATTTCATCCATGAATTATAGTCTCACCACTGGACCAGAGATTTCTGCACGTTATCGGTAGGAGCTGAGGAGTCGTTGCCGCCAAAAATTCTTTCTACAACGTCCTATACATCTTTCGTTAACCTCTTGGAAAATTTATTCGCAGTCTTGTTGAGAACGAAATTAACAGAAAAGGAAAGAGATACTGCTCCAAACGGATGAACTGTCAGACAATATTCCCTAGCTTCCCGTCTTATGTCACCCTCCTCCAGCCACAACAGACGAAACTCTGCTATATCTCGCTACGTGATCCTTAATGGAAGCAGCATCCCTTCGATATCAACCACTAATGCTATATCACCTTGTGTGAGTGATAGAGCAACACCAACCTAACTACTTAGAATATTCTATTCCCTCAAGACTTGATCATTGAGGGGGGGTCTTGATGAACAGAAGTGCAATTAAAAGGAATTTCCAAATTTCTTACCTTTTTAATGTTGATAACAGGATGATGAAGAATATGCCAACAAACTTCTCCCCAGCCAAATCCCACCTTACGAGCTTCGATGATATAACCCTTACTAAAATGTCTATCCACTAAAGCTGGATATTTTTCCAAGAGGCTATCATTCTTCATGAACCTCTTTTTTAAACATTTTATGTCATGTTTGGCAGTTTATTCGATGTCCTTGGATTGCCATATTTTCAGGGTAAACCCATTAGAAAATAACTATCCAATAGACTAAAGGAACTAATGACTATTTTTAAAGTTCTCTCATCTTAGGTAGAATGTCCCTTACGAAACATATCTAAATTCTCGAACTCATGATTATATAGTCTTACAAGATCTCGTACAATATGGTGATCCAGGGGAAAATGACGCAACCGAACTTAATGGACTGACCTACTTTCTCATTTGGAACCTATAAACATCCAACCGAGATGCGTATGCAAAGCAAATGGATATTTCCTACCTCCCATACGTTCTTCAAATGCAGAGTGTGTGTTTCAAGCATCACATCCAGTCAAGATGCCTATACGGTTGCCTAAAAACCTCGAAAAAATTATGTTTTTTAAATGTTTTAACAATTTCAGCCGTTTTATTCATTTGGTATTGTTTGTCCGAATCTTTTCATTGATGTCTGAGACTGCAATTGATCAGTCTCTTATTGACATCATTGCTTATAATGCTTGTGACCTGGGACAATATCAGGACAATCAGCGCCGGATGTACACACGTCCTAAACATCAAATGGAAGATTCAGACACGCACTACCGAATGAATTTAAACTTCACCCCATCTCACAGGCGAATGGTTATCGGGACTCAGTATCTAAGTGGATAACGTTATGGCATTTGAAGTGAATGGCACTGGGTTAGAGTCCTGGGGTGACCATAGACCCTGGAATGCTTGTAAATTCATCTGACGAGCCCCAAATAAGACGAAACGCGCGTCTTGGATTCCACTGCTAGCCATAATCCGCCTTTGTGTATAATCCCAACTGTTGTTTGGTTAAGTGTTCTTCTTGATTGTATAGGCTCTACTAATCTTTGTACACTCACTGTCATTTAAAAATATCTATAAAATTACTTTCAAACATTTACGAGCAACAATGCCATTCTCAGATATTATGTTTATCAAGGCTTCTCTGTTTTCGAGACCCAACTGAGCAGCCTAGAGTTCCGATTGGTCCGGCTTTCCGCCTAGCCCAGCCTATTAAGTCCGGAACGCCGATCTCAGCCTCTGCAATATGAATCATTATATTTCAAACATACTGAGTTTATATACCAATCAAACAGACCAAAACGTAGCATAAAATAGAAAATAACATTCGTACAAAATTTGGCTCAATGTGGCCGTGAATGTGGGAGGCAGTGACTAATAGACGGGGCATAATTCAAGGCTGGTAAAACGTGTAATAATAGTTCATAGGTCAAAATAAAGCTTGTAATAATAGGAACACGAATATGAATAGTTTAGTTATTTAACAATTATACGCTAAAAATATACGTATAGTATTGGTCGACAAATGAATCCCAAAATTACCATTCATTGTTCTTGCCGGGGCATAACAAATATACACTAACTGCGAAGATCCAGACGAGGGTGTGAATAGCGAAAGTCAACAAAGGTCAACGCTGGATTAATTTTTCAGATTCCTTGATAATATGGAGAAACATTCAGAAGTAGCCTAATGTAAAAGTTAATCGATGGAAATCAGAAGTGACCTAAAACGACAAGTGTATCTCACCGGAGTTGGTGGGTTATTGTCCTAAGGATAGAGTGGTATATATATGAATGAGCATTTGTGCAATTCATTTGGCAGTCCAATACATTATCTTGCCAACTTCTGTGTTCTCACTGAAGTAGTCAGTCGGGGGGTTAGCGCACAGCACACTGTGTATCAGTACCAGATTTTGGACACCATCCGTCACAACACTTGGCTTTGCAATGCAGGAGTGGTTACTGTGAAGCCATGCCTGTATTCAAAATGTTATTCTGTCAGTAGGCCAGAAACTGTTCTTCCGAGAATCTTACAAACAACAGCACTGACTGATACCACGGACAATGATGTAGCCTCGACGTAGGATTATACGGGTCCGACAGTCACATCATGGGAAATTCGCCAATGCAACTTAGGTTATTGTATACAGGAGCCACAGTAAATTCAGTAGCACTGTCCAAAAAATCTCCCAGTCATGTGTCCCTATTCAAGTATTTTGCAATCGCTGTTGTGCAATATTTTTGTATGATAACATGGAAAGCTATATAAAAATAGTATTGTATGTTGTACTAAACGATATTTTCACTGAAAAGCAAAACCACATAATGAAATAAATTTACACGTAGATTTGATAAGTCAAAAACAGGTTCCTTGATAGTCAAAAGTATGGTTCTACCTGAAAAAAGTTAAGATTGAAACGGTTCAAAGAATTTCAAGAACAAGCAGTCGTGTTGGCATTGGCCACATGGTCCGGCCGTGTGAGGGTGTCCACTTAGTGTCGGTGTATACTCCTCATTTTATCAATAGAGGAGACAAGATCAGTGGCTTAATAGGTATTTACCTAGATGGTGAAGCGAAACAGTTGGAGTGCTAGATTCTTTTCGTCAAACATAAAGATTTCACAGTGTGATAGGTTCACAATTTTAGATTAGGCCTACTATTCTAGTAACACAGATAAGTGGATTTTTATTGGCTAAGAACTTAGTCCTATTCAGTCACTGTTCGAAACAATACTTCTCACTTACAGTTAGGATAATACAGTTTCTTTCCTACTAGGACAGATTGAGCAGTATCAGTCAAGAGCACAGTTTTCTATGCGGCCACCGCTAAAGTTTTCGGAAATTTCAAGCCACATATTATTACAGGCACATAAAAATTCATTCTACTTAGGTCTAGTATTCGAGTAACAAATGAATCCTTCAAATCTATTGAATTTTGTCTTAAGTCATTCAATGGATGACCGAGAAAATCTGCTCATTTCGTTAGGAAAGTCAGACATATATTATCACAGCCGGAAAGCTTTCCAGGACCAACTGTCAATAATTACCGGATCTCCTTAACAAGTCTCTCCATCCATTCCCTGTACTTTGATTGAAGTAGGCGCTCGATATCGTTTATTCAGGGCGTTCACTTCACTGGTTTCAACGAAGTTGGGACACGAACGCTATTAGTTTTGTTTGTTTTCTTTGAAACTCCAACTCCTAGCTTTCATACATCCATTTTTACTGGATCCATTTTTATCAAACCGTTCGACTGATGCGTGTGTATTTCGTAGTAGAACCTAATAAAGGGAAACATTGTTGTCCACCACCATATTTTGGTGAGATTTCATTAGTCTTAAAAACTGCAATTCTTTGTGCATCAAAGGCTATAATATCATTTTTGTACATTGATTCATTACTATTAGGAGTTTGTTTTCCCATTGATCTTATTTAGTGCACTAACAAGGGATATTGTTTTCTTTAAACAGCAGGGATTCTTAATTAACTCTCGTCTGACTGCAAACGAATTTTCTAGGTGAAAGCTAACAGGGGTGTAGTTTTACAGCCCCAATCACTTTTTGAGGTGCTATGAAGTTAAATCCCTCTTTCATGCCCAAGTCTAAATGCAACTACTGGGGACCCCGAATTATTGATGTTCAATTAATACCGGGGTACATCAAAAACAGTTATATTACTTGAAAAATGCTTGCATGCGTTAATCTTCATATTTAACAAGTATGTGAAGCTGCATTACAAAGTATCAAACAATCTTTTGTTTGTACCACATCTTTGTTTGTCTGTGCAGAAAACTGCTTCCTGAGTCGGCCATTATTCCTCCCAGCGTTTGTTCATTGTTTCGAATTATGACGTACATGACTTTGTTGCAGCGCATTGAGTTGGAGCGAGGAAAACGAGAACCCGGAGAAGTAGGTTTGCATTCAGTTCTTCATGTGCATTAGATTACGGAGCTGAATTTGGACAACTCAAAGTCAGTGGATATCGAAGGGCTCACTGATGAATATTCGTCCTTAGAAGTCTTGAGCATGATGAATGTTGGTCTTCAAAGTTTGGCTGGTTTGCCTTGTCTTACCAGCTTAAAAAATGTAAGTTGAACTAGACTAAATTATGCTTTTTAAGCTTGAGTTATCGAATAATTTGATATCTGGTGGTCTTGACGCTCTACTCAAATGTCCCAACATTGAGCAACTTAATCTAAGTAGCAATAAGATTGAATCAATGGATGTATTGATTCCACTGGCTAAGCTATCCGAACTCAAGAGTTTGGATCTCGGGAACTGTCCTGTCACCGCTACGGAGAATTACCGTAAAAAGGCTTTTGCGATGATTCCCTCTTTAAAGTATTTGGATGGTCTTGATGAGTAAGTCCATATTTTAAGATTTAACTCACGTTACAGGAACAACGAGGAAGAAGTGTTTGGAAATGATTTTCTGAACGGAGGTCTGGATGAAGAGGGTAAGTCAAACCTTTTGTCTTGATATATCCGTATATTGCATTTTGTTGTAAAGTTTTGCCCGTAAGTACTCCATGCTGTTCAGTCAACCAATTGATTCAGGCTGTTCAGTGTTTAAGACGGTTCTGCGACTGTCTTGAATACCCACACTTATAACACTCGAGATTCGTTGCTCTATGTTCAGTTTCTCGATTTGTGTAGTTTATGTGCTCATTTAGGTCTTCGGGAGTAAAATGTCCCGTTTAAAACCCATGTGTTCAGTCTTGTAAATTGTCAGTCCCAGTGTGCATTCGGTCTATTATGTGTTTGAAAGACGTTTTTGGAACAAAGCTTCGGGAAAATCCTCGTTAATGGTCCTCGCTTCTCGGCCTTCTTCATTTCCGTTTCTGTTTTTGTCATTGTGATTTATAAATGGTCAACATAGAATCTACTTTTTGGATATGACTAGATGACTTATCTCACTAAGTTTAAAGATGTAGTTTATTGCGTTGCCGTAACATGAGCTCAGGAACTTGATATCTGTCCAAAATGTGTGTGAAAAGGGCGGTAATTCAAAGATGTTAATAAAGATATGGACTTGTAAAGAACCTGTTATTCTTTGGTGCGTCTGTGTCATGAGTTGATAGTCTCCTTCCCTTAAGGTTCTGACATTGAATTGGTGATCCTGTTGTCGTCTTTCCAAGACAACTCGCATTCTAAGTATTGTGGCAGCTGTTCAAAATGCATTTTTCAGTGTATTCGTATAAAAGAGATATTGGCATACTTTCGTTCCAATATTCACATCTTATCTCTGTTAATGTCGTTGATACATCAGGGGTAAATGAAGGTTGGTCCAATGGATGATCACACTTCATTCCTGTTCACGGCAAACACTGAAAGCTTCAACATGTAGTTTTAGACGTATGATAAGACTATAGATGGATTTCGTTAACAGGTTGTATGTGTAAAAAAAGTTTCTAAACTAGAAGTTGGTAACAGGAGTTAAAAAAAATTAGCGAATAAAGTAGTTTTTGGACACTCCTCACTTGTCTTCCATGAATTGCTTGCACTACTAGTGACATCCTATTAAGTACTTCTGGTTTTCATCTATTTCGCTCTTTTTGTTAATAGTTACTTGGGTTTTTTTAGATGACAGCACGTGAATGTCCAGTTCTTGTCTAACTAAGTAAATCAATAGATAAATGAAAATCTATTTCCTCAGCGAAAGAGCATTTTTGAAGTTAACTTTCCATCACATTTAATTATTTCGGTGTAGCAGACGGTGTCGATGAAGCTGATGAAGAGGATGATGAAGGATCTGATGAGGAGGACGAATGTGATGATGAAATTGGCATTGAAGCCCTTCAACAAAGTGGTGAACTTGAAGATGATGAGGATGACTATGCTCCAGGTAAGTATGATTCTCAATTGCTTCATTTTCTGCGATCCCCACTCATACTAACGCAACGTTCTTTTTTCCTCTCTTATAGGCGAAGATGAAGAAGCGGAATTAGATGACTACGACGATGTGGATGATGAGGATGAAGACGAGGTAGAGGAAGACAACGGAGCTAACCTTTCGGCTGCCAATGTGAGTGGACCTCGACGCCCCGGCTCCAAGCGGCGTCATGAGGACATTCAAGATGGAAAAAATGGGGATAATGCGGAGCACTGTGGAACTAAGCATAAGCACGTCGAAGATCGTGTGGAGACCCACGTTGAGAACGGATCAGCTGCTGATGATTAGACAGTTGATATAAACTTCATTGTTCTTATTTAGGCCAAATTCCTATTGTATATGTTATGTTCATGTTCATCTTTTATGTTTAACCACAAATTCACCCAAAATGAACTATGTATTTGTACAGTACATTTGCTGACATCTTTTTTCGACAACACATAATTCAGTGTTAGCTAATGCATTTACTCATTTGTAATACTTTATTACATCGTTAAATTTTCGAAACATCTTTTTAACTAAAATCTATCCATATTTGTTGGGTTTTAATCATTATAAATTGAATTGTCATCTTAATAATCAGTCTGTTACTTGTTTGTCTGACTTGCATAGTCCAGATAATTAACGTTTAAAAAGTGGGTATGAATTACTATGCACGACTCAATTGGTAATTCATTTTGGTAAATAGATGCAGTTTTGGCGTTTAGGGAAGTTAGAGAGGACTTGGCTCTATCGTCCATAGGGATGTATCGCTGCTAAACGTGCTGGGTTTTCTAACTGTGCCCAACTAGTATCTGTGCGATGTATCTAAACACGAAAAGTTAGTTTTTAATAGTCTCATGAAATGTCCTAGGTTCAGTCGAATACTTGGGCCTTAAGAGGCCCAAAGGTCCTGCTAAAGCTCTCTGGGGTCACGTGGGTTCTCTGCCTCAGCGTACAAACAGCAGTGAAACGGTTGCACAAGCTGGATGGGGTCTTGAAAGGCTACGCCCTTGATTTGCGTTTATGGTGCACGCTTATGGGTCTTACGTATAGGTTTCTGGACGTCGGTGATGGCATTCGTGTGCGTGAAGTTCGCGTGGCGTCACTTAGACTCAAGTCCACAGGCCGTGATGCCAAACCTTGATGGGCTTGGATGTCACCTCAGGTTAAGTTGCAATTAGAACACTACGAATTGGGTTTCATGGCTCCTTGGCCTATCGAATACAATGATCTAGACTAAAACCAAGTTCCAAAACAACGGGCGAAGTGTATTAGTCGAAAAGACAGTAAAACCAAATGAGTTATAAAATGCTGGGTCGGTTTTATAACTTCACAGTTGTATTTCTAAAAGTGGATACCAATAGATAAAGTAACATCTGGGTGTCCGTATATGATAATTCAGGCTGTCGGTCGTAACAATTTGCTTAGATACTTTGAAACCTAGCCTGAGGTCTCGGTCATTTGTGACCGACAAACTGCTTGATAATACTAGTTTTGTGCATAGGCTCCGTGGGACTTAACAAGAATGACACTTATTTCGAGATCAGATATATGTCCAATTATCCTAATGATTATATCACTAAGGATCGACTTGAAACAAGTCTCATAATATCAGGTTTAACACTTCAAACGCATTATAGGGGATAAAGGAAATAAGTATTCACTCAAGTGGACATTACGAGAGAGTAGGCACTATTCTGTCTAACTACTTAGACTAAGTAGTGTAAATTAACATAAGAAATATTTACAGATAAAAGTATCGTTGTAATGAGGCTTGAGGTTATACAAGGACTTTTAGAAATAACTCTGAAACCCCATGCCTGAAATAAAGCTGAGACATTACAGGTACGGATATTAAGCACCTGGTGGATAGTGTATACACCCAAAGCCTTCAGAATATCATACAAGAAACTAAGGTTAAGTTTATTACACTTTATAAAATCTCTGGTATTTGACGTTTCCAACCTGACGTATAGAAATAAGACGAAGCTGTTTAGCCTCTGTCATCCTGACTCTCATAAAGAAAATTTCACCATTTACTGGTGGTTGTATGTTTTACCCTATTTATATCATGTAATTCGACGATCACTTGTTTCAACCAATGATTATGACCCATAATGCTTTTATAAATTGGAATTCCCCTAATATATGTGAGCATCAAAGTTGAATGTATTATGTAATGTTGATCGATAAGTATTATATAGATTGTGTTGATTTGTAGTCATCCATGACAAATTAATCAATCTCTGCGAAAACCTTTGATCATAATACTATGACAGTCTGGTCTGTAGGGATTTACTTCTAGAATGCCTAGAATTTTAGTGGAAAATCGTAATCGGTTATGCTCAAATGTGACGCCAGTGAAATAATCATGATCAATGTTGTATGATCGTCGTATTATATACAGAATAGGTTTAAGGAGGAAATGTGTATCATTGGATACAAACCTTTTTGTTTTAATAACTAAACACTCGCATGTATTCCATCTCTAACAAGTTCGTCAGTGCGTACTGCTGAGATAAGCGATACTTGGACTAAACAGTTCTTAAATTCTTCCTGGTTTTCCACGATACTCATGATTTTTCAATGTTCAATGAATATGTCTTAGATCAGTCATTTTACTATTTATACAACAAAAGAAATCCATTGAAATAAAATAATGATTTCACTGTATTAAGTAAAACCTATAGTCTAAAAATTTAGGGTAGTATATGTCAGACTATTTATTAGTTTATATTTCAAGTTAGAAATTAATGCCATCGGATGCCGTCCAGCTCAGTGGTCTAGTGGTTAAGTGCTCGCGCGCGAGAATGACTGGTCCTGGGTTCTAATCTCGCGAGGTGGGATCGTGGATGAGAACTGTTGAGGAGTCCCACAATAGGACGTAACAGCCATCTAGTGCTTCCAGGTTTTCCATGGTGGTCTAGCTTCAATTGACTCATGATTTCAACTATTGATATTATGTAATAGCCTATAAGGATTTCCTGTATATTAATCTTTATTTTTAGATTGGTTAAGTTTTAATGAGTTTTGTTAAAGTATATTTAAGCCATTGATTACCCTCTATCTAAATAATTAAGTTATATTCAAACTTATATATTTCCATGATCTACAATACATTAGTTACAATATATTTATTTTATTCTCTAAGCACAATTATTATGTAAATGATAGTCCTTTCACGTTGATTTAACATTATTGGATGATTACGGAAATAGTTTAATTTTTTTTGATGACAGACAAAATATCACTCAAATATGTATATAGAGTGGTTGTGTTAAAGTAATCTTGAAATTCTTTTAGTTTTATAGAATCTTCACACGATTCTTTGAAATTTTCTAAGCCTACTCCAGTGAGTAAATATATTCACAACTATTTTCTATATTAATAATGAAATATATGAGACATCTAATTGAAAATGAATTACAATCACTTATTCAATTATATGTTACTAGTAAAATACATTTCATTGTAAATAAACAATTGGATTAAACTGATACTTAACGGATTTGCAATCATTTATAGCACAATGGTTTTTGTGAATATGATAATAATTTCAATGGTTGAGATCATGAGTTAATTGAAGCTAGACCACCATGGATAAACATGGAAGCATTGTAAGGATGTTTCTTTCCATTGTGGGACTCCTCAGTAGTACGCATTCACGACCCCACCTTGCGAGATTCGAACCCAGGACCTATCAGTTCACAAAAACCCTTCTGATATGAATCAACATATATTCACTAGTGACTGGCCTCAAGAGATATATCCTAGAGTTCTAGTGAAAAGCAGTGACCAGTGGAGTTCAACCGGGTCTGTTGTGAGATAATAACTCACTGAAGACAATTGTGAATATGTCACTCAATTTGGTGGATTGGTTGAAGTTAGACATTAACACCGTTGGATGCCGGTCAGCTCAGTGGACTAGAGATTAAGCTCTCTATAGCGAGACTGATAGGTTCGGGGTTCGAATAATAGGGTGAAACGGTGATCCAGTGCTTCCAGGTTTTCCATGATGGTCTAGCTTCAATTAACTCATGATCTCAATCATTGAAATCTTTTATAGATTAAAAATGATCATTCAATCCATAAAGTATAAATCTCTCTTTCCTAATATTTGTATTTTGTTATTTTATAAAGAAGAAACAACACACACAATACGAATGTTAGTTACTCCCCTATTTAGTGGAAATTTGATTTATTTTGTACCTTATAATGTTCAATTATATCTTGAAATTTATTTCATTGAATAATAACCTTGAAATAATAATCAACCAATCAAATCATAGTTTTCATTTTTATTCTATCGACTTATATTTCTGCTTTCAAGGTTATTTGATTCATTATTATTTTCTTCAAGGACCAATCAAATTGATTATTAATTTGTTTTAGATTAATTAAGTCCTAGAGATTTATTTAAATCTAAAAGGATAGAATGAATAGTAAAACAATTAAATATATATAAAAGGAAAATGATTTTGAAGACATGGACATATTTATAGTATAGATTTTCAAGGTAGTTTCTGAAAACTATTGATCTCTTTAAACCATTTATTGATTATGAACCGAAGTAAGACCTGATATACTTTAACGAGTTAGAGTACTTTAACCAATATGATATTAGATTGATTTATATTATTGTAATTTATATCTACATGTGAATGAAACGAAGTAGTTAGTACAACAATTTATGAATTTTCATGAGTCGATATAAGCTGAACCAATTTTGGAAACCTGAAAGCATTGAATGGCAGTTTCGTTCTAGTATAGGACTTCATCAGTAAGCATCTACAACTCCAACGCCAGTAATCGAATATAGGACCTTTGATCTCGCTCTCGAATGCACAACCTCTAGAATACTGAGCCGACATCCAGTGGCGTTATTGTCTGACTTCGATTGACCCATGATCTTGCTAAACCCTTTATCTATTGCTTGAGGTGGATATCTGTCTCACACCCAACACTGACTGAACTTTACTGATCACGAACTATTTAATTGTTTAATCAGACATCCACATTCTCCATCCAACTCAATCAGGGAAAATCCTTTCCAGTTGCTATTCATTCTTTTCATATCTGCATCCAGTTCCCCGTGAAATGTGTTCTTTGGCCTTCATCTTTTGCATTTCCCTTCAGGATTCCAAGTTAGCGTTTGCTTCGTGATGTAGTTTAATGATTTCTTATGTGTGTGTCCTATCAACTTCCGACGTCTTTTCCTAATTTCCTCTTCACCTGGAAACAGATTTGTTCTTTCCCACAATAGGCTGTTGTAGATGGTATCCGGTCAACGGATGCTGAGTATGTTGTGTAGACAGTTGTTCATAAAAACTTATACCTTAACATATGTATCATGAATTAGTGTATGTATGTAGATGATATCACTTACCTTATAAAAATTTGCAACTATACAACATGATAATGCATCTTATATCTGTTTATAGCTTTGCTAAATGATATGACCAGTAATAGATTAATCAAAAAATAATGCAAATAGCATAAGAAACTGACTTCAATCGTATATGAAATGTATTCATCATATCTTAAGAAGGATTATAGATGCTTAATTGTAAATATTTGTTCACACAATAACTTATTGAATTATTATTGTTAAATATAACTCAATATTCTGACTGTTATCAGTATGGGCTTGTGAAGATTATTAAGTTTTTGTTTGAGATCATAAACCGA